TTAACAGTGGATCCCATGCTGACCACCCTTCGTTATATTAGGAAGTTTTGGGCTCAGGAGGCTGCAGCACAGCTAATCCAAGAAGCAGAGATTAAAATTTCATTTGTTATAGTTATAAAGAAAATATTAATTTTATAGAAATTACTTTGCTTTACAGGTTTGTCATAGGTATATATACCTGTTTCTTTTTTCCAGAACAGACATTTTGGTGGCTTGAACATTACAAATCCAACTCTTCAAATCCCAATTTCAAAATCTACTAGAACAGGAACAACAAATGTTCAAATATATTAGTTCTTCAAACATTTGCTGACGTTTTTTTATGTTACTTCCCTGGAAAAATTAGTAAGCTTCTCTTTGCTTGCTGCGGGAGGCAAAGTTGCTATGCAAGAGCACTAGTGATCATCAGTCAAAAAGGGCAGCGTTTGATGAGCCCTCCCATAGCAAGCAAAGAAAAGCTTACTGGTTTTTTCAGGGAAGTAACATAAAATACGTTAGCATATGTTAGATCTCTAGCAACGTATCCACCTTACCAGAGCTGGATGAGTGCTGGATGCGTCAAATTGTCAATGATGATGACGACCGGACACCCATATGAACTGTGACATTTCTGGGTCCAGATCCCCACCTTCAATCCCACCTAGCTAGTTTATCCATTTGACAATAAATGGCAACCACCTCCATTACCAAACAAGCAAACTTACATCCCACAAATTGAAGCAGCCAAAATGCTCATTTCTCTCGTCAATGCATTTATGCATTCTCACGTCTTTTTCGTTGGTGGTGACTGCACCAAGTTTGTAAGGGGCTCAATCCATTCAGTCCGGTCATGAATTAACTCGTTGGATCAATCATGTTCGATCAGGTCAATATTTTTTCTGATTCAAGTTGAAACTTCATGTCAAGCTTTGATTAGTGAATTTTTCCTATCAACATGTGGAGCTGGCTTCTGCTTGGCTTTAACTACTCTGATGTTCCCTTTGGAATCGTTCTTTGATGCTTCAATGGAGACAACAATACTAGTGTTTTGAGGGGGAGGTGTATCTATTTACTTTAGAGATATGTGAAGATTACTATCATTTTTAAATCTCAGAATTAGCAAAAAAAAATCCTTAAATTACTTCGATGTGAAAGGTCTATCTTTTAAATCAATCGCCAATGTGATTCTCAATCACTACTGCTGTAAAAGTTAATTTGGGAATATTTATTTATAGTCAAATAAAAATAAATCTTTTTGTGTGCTCCGCACAACATTTCAAACCGCTTTTCGCGCAAAGTGCTTTTTGTCAAAGCCCTCTCACAGATATTTGCCTGTGATACTCGTTGGCCGTGATTTACAAGATGGTCGAGGCCCAGGCTGCAAAACATTTGATCGAGGCCTCGCCATTGTCCACCTTCTTCCTGGGAGAAAAATCGTCAGAAGACTGCTTTTGGAGACCATTTCAATAACTTGATTGGTGCGAAGAAACTTGGGTTTTGACACCAAAATACGGAGAAATCGGACGGCATTTTCGTAATACTCTTTGATGGTCGGTGTGATGCTGGAGACATGGACTACGATCAAAGCATACTGTTTTCTGGCATCAATAAGCTTAATAAAAACAAAAAAATAATAATTATTTCTTCTGCACCAGTCAATCCGTTTCTGATATCAAAGTATCCTTAAATCCGTTAAAAACTTAAAAAGTAAGCTTAATAAAAGATACTTGTGAGCCCCGACCTGCTTTACCCAGCATGATAAAAGTTCAAAAATATTCTATTAATATTTTTTATATTAAGGGTGTTTGATATTGAGTTTTAATTTTTTTTTAATTTAAATTAATATTTTTAATGTTTTAGATCATTTTGATGTATCAATATTAAAAATAAATTTTTAAAAATAAAATAAATATTATTTTAATATATTTTTAAATAAAAAATACTTTAAAAAATAATTATCACTACATTCCTAAATCCTTATCAAGAAAACTCAATGTCATTGAAATTATTTTTTTATTATTAGCATGTGATCAATTAACAATCTTCTCTCTACTCTATTTTTTAACAACTTTTTCCATTCTTTTTTCAATATATATATATATATATATATGAGAAGCTTATGAATTAAATGTAAAATCCTAAACCTTTTTTACATGAATTTAGAAAGAGCTTGATATTTTTTTTGTTTTTATTTTTTTCCTTCTTCCTTTAATTTTTTAAATATACTTCAAATTTAAAACAGGTTTCATTAAATTGACTTCAATTTCAATTCTAGAATTTTAGTAAACATCTTTAGTTGTCAATAACATGGAAAGAGAAGAAGATATCAACACATAAGATATAACAAATATAAAATGAAAAGACTAAGTTTAAAGAAAATAAAATTCAGTGAATAAATTGAAAAATAAAACGACACTTTTCATTGAACAATGTGGTCCACTGTGATCAAGACATTTTTGTAATAAAAAACGGTGAAAGTATGTTTTGGTTTATTTATGTTTATTATTTGTATAATAATAATAATAATTAAAAAAACAAAAACAAGAGAAGGTACGAGCCTACATACATACAAATATCAGCTTCCTTATTACAAAATAAATAAATAAATAATAAATATAGCAATTTCCTTTGATTAACTATTCAACATTTCTTATTTATTTATTTTTATTTCAATGCTATAATAAAATGATTTAAAACATGTTTCTTCAAGTATATCATGATATATACTATACTAGTTATGTGATTTGTGCACTACCACATATCTAATATTTTTATTTTACTACCACATATCTAATATTTTTATTTTTTATAAAAAAAATATATATGTAGTTTTTTTAACCTGTCTTCATAGTTTAAAAAAATCTAACTTCAAATCAAAGATGTTATGCATACATGTAATCAAATTAATCAAGAACTATATGTGTGAATAAATAAATAAAAAGTCATTGATGAAACTTTAAAATAAAACTTGAAAAATCAAGAGACAAGTGTAAATCAAAATATGTAATATCGAAAGATAAAAAAACCAAATTATATTTGATAAATTTTTTTATTTAAGTAAACGGTAATAGAAATAAAGATACAAATTAAATTGATTAAATAAAAAAAATCATGCAATGTTGCACATGTTAGAAATATTATTTTAAAATAATTTTTTTATTTTAAAAAATAAAGTTCATCGATATAAAAGATAAAAAAATTATAGATGAATCATAAAAACTTTTTAAATTTAAATATTTAATTAAAAAAATAATCATCATTTAAAAAAGACTCTTCAAACAAAATGAAAGAGAAAGGGGATACTAATTTAAATAAAAATAAAAAAAATTAGAGAAAAAGCCATAAATAAGAATCATTAATTGAAAAAAATAGAAAAACAAATCTTTTTTTTTAAGCAAAGGCCAAGCATTGCCGGGCCTAGCAAGCTAGGCCAGCCCGTCTAATCCATCTTGCCAGGGTTCACACGTGGATTTGTGCGATTGAGCTCTTATTTTTTTTTTTGTACGAGGGAAGAACAACTTGTCATTCTCCACTATTTTTTTGGGGAAAAAAATTAAATGACATGTTTGATTTGTCTAAATTCTAGTCACTGTGGTAACTAGAGAATTAGGGATTAAGATTTTTTTAAAAAAAACCTTTTTTCAATCTATTTTTTACTCAAAACACCTATAAAACACCATATGAACTGTGATAAACCTATTTATGACCTTAATAAACCACCATAAAAACTGAAATCAACCTAAACTCAAATATATTTTTCCATGAACTTTAACAGTAAAAACACTTAATATAAACTCCTCTCATAAGATGAAATTATTTTACACAAATATCATTAGTTTTGGTAACCTAAATGAGTGTTAACAACACTTCTCTCTTTCCACTGTGAAAATCCAAGAACCTCTCTCTCTTTTATCTTAACCAAGAACTAAAAATAACAAAAATAAATTTTTGTATGATAATTGAATTGAAAAAAATATTGAGGTACTGAAATTGTATAAGTAGTGTGGTTTTTAAAATTTAAAGATCAAAGTGTAGTTTTTATTAAATTTATAGCATGTCACTCATGTTTGACATCTTTTTTATTTTGATCACTCTTTTTCAATCCTATCTTTTTTATAAAAAGATTAAAATTAATTGGTTAAATCGTTTAATAAATAAATAAATTTGATTATTAAATTTAAAAAATTATAAAATTTTACACAATTCATCCATAATAATATATAAAAAGATGAACAATAAAGCCTTGCACAATAAAAATATAATGCATTTTAGAATAATACTTAATATTTCGACATTAATGAAGGAATTTTCCGGTAGTCAAAGAAACCCTTGAAAGAGGTAAAAGCATGCATGAAATGTATTTAGATGGTTATTGCAGGCTAATGAGTGTTACGTGTCCTTAATTATAATATTAGAGAAAACAGTATACAAGGAATAGCACACAAATAGTGGCATTTACTTTGAAATCAAAGGAAATAAATTAACAACCTCGAGAGTCGTCTTAATCAATGTTATTCCTTGCAGTACATTCTTCCTCAAAAGATTCCCTTGTACATGTCAATCCGACAATAGGGCTGGTAATTGAATAAGTTGTCGTCCGTGTACATGCCTTAAAGATTTTAAATATTAAGATCATAACTTATTTGAAGGGTTCAACAGAATTCCCGATTGAAAGCTTATAGATGGTCAAGGGTTTTTATTTGCTTTCATAATCTGTCAAATCAAACACACGGTTATTTGTTGATGTTCAAACCTTTCAAATTCATCAGAAGAAGTAAAACAGTCAACCAAGAATTATAAGGTCCTTTTGAACCACCATGGGAGTTTTTTTTTCTAATTTAAAAAAAAACCCTGTGAATTATAAGGTCCCACAAGTTATTATACACTCTCTATATAAGGGAGATCATACCCACCCTCCTACAACCACGATTCAAACTAGGACGAGAAACAAAGCAGAATTAAGAAACGTTATCTGATCACAGAAGGGATACTCCACAACTATTTTTTTCGTTGCAGAAGCCATGCATCGCTCTTCAATTGTAAACTTCCCACGCCAATTTTTCCGTCAATACCCCTCAATACAGCCGGCGGTTACCAGTCGTGTTGCCAAACCTTGTGATGTGTTCATTAACCATCGAGGGATCGACACCAAGCGCACGGTTGTTACTTTGCTTTATGATCACCTTTTCCGTTTAAACCTACACCCCTTCTTGGACAACAAGAACATGAAGCCAGGAGACAAGTTGTTCGATAATATAAACAGTGCAATAAGGAAATGTAAGGTTGGTGTGACTGTGTTTTCTCCTCGGTATTGCGAGTCATATTTTTGCCTTCATGAACTAGCTCTCATTATGGAGTCAAAGAAGAAGGTTATTCCTATCTTTTGTGACATCAAGCCCTCACAACTTCGAGTTGTGGACGATGGGAAATGTCCCATGGAGGATATCCGGAGGTTTCGCTGGGCACTTGAAGAGGCTAAGTATACTGTAGGGCTCACGTTCGACTCCTTGAAAGGGTAAGGAGCACCGTAACTTTCTTAGTTTGTGTGTGTTGGATTTCAATTTCAGAAATTAAAATTATCTTGTCTTTCTTTTCACATTCTTCCCTGTGTTCTCCAGGAACTGGTCGGAGGTTGTAACAAGTGCGTCGGATATTGTCATTGAAACCTTAGTTGAGATCGAGAGTGAAAAGCAAATGCAGCGCCATAAAAGCACTCCAATATTGCGTGCCTAGTACATGTCTAATTCCTTGAAGATAAAAGCTTCAATGCCACCGAGAGATCGTCCTTCATCAAATTTTTCCTGCCTATTTATCATTCAATTTGTGTTAATAAATTGTAAAATCAATTTTTTCATTTATAAAAATAAATTTTAAACAAATTTCTTTATTTTTTTAGTCAATTGTACTCACTTGATTATCTCTTTGTAATAAGAGCATGGCTTAATGTTACAAGCTCAAAAAATAATTGTAGCACTTAATATTGTATGATGTAATGAGATATATATAACAAAAGGTTTAACTCTTATCTTTGTTCATCGAAATTTATTTACCTATTTACTTTCCGACATATATATAACACTATTCTGGATTGGGCTTCTCTCAATTTATTGCTAACATGATATATCATGATAGTTAAATTATAGCCATTAGATTTTAATTGATAGTGAGGATCATAAAATAAATAAATTATCTAATTTGATCACATAAAATTTAGAGAAAATAAAAAAAAATTCCCTTTAAATATAAAATTAATTTATGGTTGTTAAAAAAATCCCAAATCTATCTAATTTCTCACAAAAACCGTAATGTTTTAAACAAAACTAGACCTATTCGTTTAACTTATTTTCTATGAATGAGAGAATATTTTTCATATGAATCAGGATCCATTAAATAAATATCGTAGACTTGAAAAAAAACTTAGTTCAAATTTGCGTGAAGCAATTAGTTTTTATATTTGATTAGTAGAGACAAAATTAACAACATATAATTAATTCACAATATTCTCTAAATTTTATCAAAAATAAATTTCTTTAGGTAAAAGAAATCATCTAATAAAACCTTGGTTTTTCATTTAATTTAAAAGGTTAAAATTTAACTACCATGATGTATATCATGTTAACACTAATTGAAGGAGCACAATCCGATTATTCCATATTGTATTATCGATCATACTGTGTATTTGTAGTATTTATCAATGTAACTGATTTCACATTTTATGTTCAATAATTTAATATAAGCTCAACTCCAATTTTCACGGCAAGCTAGGGAAAAATGCTATATTTCTATCTCTAAAAATCATCATTGACTTTACCAATTAAAAACTATTGTTTGTAAGTGTCTCGATTTGATGTTATATTTGGTGGTTATTCCACTAGTTATTTTTATACTAACAGATATGTTAGTGAATTATTGTTGTCAGTGATTAAAATAGGCACTAAACATTTTTTATTGGCACACCTATAGTAAAAAAAATTTATGCACCCTCTTTACTAATTTTAAGTGGTCTCCGATGATATTTACATCATAATTGTTCCGTCAAAACCTTAAAAGTAGTTAACTTAGTTAACTTTGACTATGATACACCTATTATGTGAAAACCATTTTTTTTCTTGTTTTTTCACACTTAATTGCCCTTAAATGGGTTCTTATCACCGGCTAGAAATGCTTTTTCATAAGATCAAAGGATCAAAAACAACTCTTTAACCTTCAAGTTTTAGCAAAACCACTAAAATCTTTAGAACCAAGTTTGTTGAAAAATCACCACTATAAAACTAGCAAATTATAGAGCTTTCAGCTGCTAAAATTTTCCCAAGACCCTTTCATTTTGATTAGAGGATCAAGTATTGATAAATCATAATTAATCCTTGAGCAAATCAATCAAAATATCCTAGCAAAAAAATTATAAATACCTACTAAGTGTGAAAGTTCAAGAGCCTAACATAAGAATTTCTTCAATTTCAAGAGAAAGTAGCAAACTTGAAAAATAAAAAACAAAAAGGCAGCAACCATCATTTAAGGTTGAAAGGTTTAAAACCTTTATTTATTCTTGTAGATGATGTCTCTGAGGCATATCTCAAGCTTGTTCATACATGTTTGATGATGTCTTTACGTATTGATTTTGGTTTTAGTTTTGGTTTTAATTAATATATAAGAATATTATTTTTATTGTTTAAATCTTGTTTTGAATTTGTTATTAATATTTCTGAATATTTAGATGATGTTTGTTGGATTGAGTTTTATGAAATAAAATGGTTTTGAAATTTGCCAAATATGGAAGTAAGGTTTGTAATGTTTTTATGTGCTAGAGAATACATGTTCTTGCATTTTGGTTTTGGTTGAGGCCTATTAAATGTCAAAATGTCATTTTTGAGCTCTCAATTCTTGAGTATGTTTGCTATTTTAGTTTGTTAGTTTTTTATATTAAAACTCCATGCATGATTTTTAGAATATAGTGTTTTTTTGTTACTTGTTTTGATTTGAGTATGTGTAACTATGGTAGTGATGTGTGTGAACCAAGAAAGCATGATTTTAGGGCTTGAAATGTGTTTTATGTGTTTGGTCAGTACGTGGGTTTTTTGAGCATCCTCGAAAATTTCTAGGTAATGTTTCGCAAGAACATTGCCTTAGCTACATTTTTTGGATCAATTTTGATCTTTATTCTCGTATTATCATCTTGATATGACATGATTAATCAATAATCAATTATTTGTTTGCACCAATAATTGTTTATTTAAGGTTCTAATTCTAGGGTTTGTTTTTTCAAATTAAACTCATTTTCATTAAATTTTGTTGATTCTTGGATAATCGATATGAATGAAGCTAAATTATTGGTTAATGATTAATTTCCAATGTGTCTAAGTCCTTGGTTTGTTTGTAACCAGTCTAGATTTTGACACATATTATTGGGCATGCTTTTTATGTTCTTCATTTATTCTTCAGTTCTTAGTTTTTTTATTTTGATTTGTTTGGTTTTTGTGTTTTTGGCAAGCTTGATTCATTTTAAGTTTTGATTTTGGATTTATTTTGTTTTTTGGGTCAAACCAGTGGTTTTTGATTTGATTTATGGTCGAACTAAAGATTTTGAGTCAACTGATTGAATCAAATTCAAGTCAGATGGGTAAAGTCTTGTTTGGTTCTCAATCCTTTTAATAAAAGAATTTTTAGCTTAAGGGTATGTTTGACAAACATATTTTTAAACCTATTTTGATAGTTTATGTAAAAGAACATGAGTTTTTTTTCCAAATAAAACCTTAAAGAAATATTAATAATTAAAAAAATATTAAAAATATATATTTTTTAATAATAAATAAAACTTTCAATCAATATATAAAATTCTGAAGGATTTTGGATACATTTTAAAAAATAAAAAAATTCATTAGTAGGATATTACTTGTTTTATTATAAGGATTAAAACCTGTATAAGATTAATATCTAACATATTATTAGGAGTAATATGACCTACTCACTTCTAATATAAAGATAAAAAACCAACAATTTTTTTTTTAAATCTGAAATGTTATTAATGATGATGTAAAGGCACCCAAAATTAAAGTTTGTTTGAAATAAACCTCAACGATAATTGAGGATATTTCTATATGTGTCCCATGGTACAAGAGTTATGGACGTTTGAAATACCAAAAGAAAAAGTGAAATCTCAATAATTTCAAATCTCTTTGGATTTCTAACTTCACCTTCTTTGCGATATATAAGTTGCGAATGTGCTTGCTTTCTTCTGATGTCTTTTTAAGTTAAGATATTTTAAATCAAGTTCTTGATCTAGAAAACTAGAGTTTATTCATCATAATAAACCCTCTATAGTAGGTTGATAGAACTTAGAAATGAGCTTACCTCAAGTAAGGTATATAAGGTGTGTTAATACCTTTTCTTTACACAACCAGTCATTTGCCTGGAATTTTTAAAGACCAATTCAGATTTTTAGTAATCATAATACTAGGTGGCGACTCCTTATTCAACTAAAAACCTTTTAACCCATCTGGGAAGGTTTGTCAAGATTTTGCGCTCTTGCGAATGGTATGACAACTTATTAGTGACATGTCATTGCCATCTCTTCAATCTTCCTTTCTTTAGCAATTATATTTGCTTAAACCTGGCTTATATAATCCTTTTTTCTTGTATAGTGGTTGCTACCATATTTTTCATCATAATTCTCAGGCCATTGTCTATTTTCTCTTTAGATTCATCTCTCTTTTATCTTTTCTTGTGTGATTTTCTTTGTACTACACCTTCTCTTATGCAAGGAGTTGCTAGCTTGCACTAAGCCTCTCTTAGCTTTTTCTATCTCTCTTAATATAAAGCCCTAATTTTCTTGTAGAGCTAATTTTCTTGTAGGGCTTTATCATAGCTTTTTCCATCTCTCTTAATGTAAAGTCCTAATTTTCTTGTAGGGCTTTATCATCTTGCATCTTTATTTTTTCTTCTTTGGATGTCACTTGTCAATCCACTATTTCTTGAGATTTGTCCCTTTCATCTACACACATGCTTTAATTTCTCAAAAGCTCTACTAGATCCTAAATAATTAAGGGGAAAGGTAGAAAGGGAGTAACAATATTACATTACTCTTAAATGAAAGGAAGTCCCTCTAGACTTGTACATACATACCAATATAGAGATAAATCAAAAAACTTAAAATGATTAATATTTTCTAATATTTAAACATACACTTAAGAAAACTACAAAACACTTTGAATTCAAAATTAATTTTAATAAATCAATAAAAACTCTATAGAAATCAGAGTTGTGAAGCAAATAGATTAATGCTTCCTAAAGACCATAAAAAACCACCAGCTATTCACTCTTTAATGCCCTAAAGAATTGGCCACACTGCTTTGCAAAACATCCCAAGAAACATAAACACTAACACAAAAACTCATTGCTTTATAGATGCTCGAAGTATAATTTCTTCCAAGCCAAAGAGCTCACAAGTAGACAGAATCCCTCAAACAAAACAAATATTACTATATCCTTTGTTCATCAAAACTGACCATATCTGATTGAGAGAGTATAAAATAATTTCAAGAGCATATATGTTTTCAGGGAACTCATTTAATTAAATTATCATTCTCATATTTTCCTTACTAAATTAACTAAAGTAAACAATTTGACTTGTTAGCACATTATTAGAAATTCAATGAATACCAACAAAATTATCGATGAAATGTTTCTGTTGGTATTTTGAGGTGATATTTACCTACTAAATTAATTCCCTTGCTAAA